GAACTGCTCATAACTGACTTAGGCTGACTTCAAGTCGTGAGGAACTCTGCTTTATATGTAGTATGGCAAAGTTAAACTCTAAGGACTAGTAAGTGCCGACGGATAAATGACCTTGAATGCATCGACCACATGATAAAGGCAATTTCCGCGTATAAAATACATGTATTCACGAAAATTATGAATTAAAAGGCATGAAACTTACGCAGGGTACCTTTCTCTGACGTGTGACAAAAATACCCATTAGTTATGGATTTGAGTACCGACAGAGTAATTTAACCACATTCTATGCAAGTAGTTATCTAGGTCTCCTAATCTTAACAGTAACTCCAATCTTTCCTTAACCTAACCCTAACGTGAAAATATCCCTAGACTAAACCTATTCCAACTCAAACCAACCCTAGTGTAACCCGTGTTATTTTAACCTAACCCTAACCTTTAGCCTAAATCTTAACTTAGTCTTTCTCAAACCTGACCTGAAACTTAGCAGATATCTCATTTAATGACATAGCACTTCAATAAGTAAATTTTTTATTCGTGATGACAAAATTAATTGTCAGGTTTCACTAACCTGTTCAGTGAGCATTTCAAGGTTACTGGTACTGTGGACTCCATTGGTACTAACTGGTGCTCAAAGTTTAACTTGGTCATAGACATATACATATAGGTCTTCGCTTTTAATCCGTAACGAATCTGTGACAATAATATGATTGAGTTTAGTTTCGGGAGACAACATTGTCTTTATATACCGAAGTGTAATTAAAGGATATACGAGTGCCAATTGTGATATGAGGGAGAAGTCAGGTAACTTCTTCTACCCTAAACTAACCAAGTAGTCTGTTCAATACTCTTACACTTCTTTCGAAACCATTTTCTTAAATGAATATAGTGTTATTTAACTAGTTCCACTGCCTGGTTTTTTGCTTATGGGTTTCTTGTTTGAGGATTTTTTTTCCCATACGTTATTTGATACAAGATATTCGCATCTTTTGCATTTATTCTTTCTATCCTCTCTGGGTGGATTAATAAATTAATTAATAATATAATTACATAACAATAATAATTAATAATAAATTAATAAGCATGGCACCAGTCAATGAAATCTACAACAGTTAGTCTAAGCGACGTAGGAAGGTGTAGACTTCCTGACTGGTTGGGGTCCTCGGAACGGTAAAAACCAATAGTTGGAAACAATTGGTGACATGGCTCAAAATCGTTGTCAATGGCTGAAGCAGATGCATCCACTCCTTGTGACGTATGATTTCCAATTAAACTGTTTTGTGCTTCGTTATTACTGTTCCTTTGTCTCACTCCTCTGTTTACTGTCTTTATTATGTATTTCTCTTGCTTTGTGTGCTACATGAAGTGTGGCGACTTGAACTGCTGCACATCAGTGCAAAGTTCTGTGTCGAAAACAGATAGACAGACAGGATGGATTAATATAGAGGTTTATATAAAAATAGAATTTGTGCACTGTGGTAGAGTATAATTTGAGTATAACTTGATATGATTATGACCAGCAATAAATTGTGCTTGAAAAGTCATCAGTAAATATTACTATATAACACTGTGAGGCTAAATAAAAATAAATTTTACCCACAAGGGAATATAGTAGTTGGTATAACCGCCTTAAATATCACGTCTAGATTAGTTTAAGCAAGTGGATAATTATCTATGACTACAATGGATATTTAAGGTACTAGTAGTGCTATTGGTTAGCTACACTATACCAGCCGTTACTAGACATAGTTTGCATAAACACCCAGTAAATCAGTACTCTACCTACTTGTAAGTACTAACGACAAAACGTAAATCAAAACGACTCAGTTAATAAGTGAAGAGCAGTATATTTGAATAGTTCAAAAGGCAAAGGTTATTCAGGGAAACAATTGAGAACTTATCTATCTAGTATGGCTGGAATACAAATCCTGAGGATATGTGTTAACGGGACAATAAGAGAGCGCAAAATGTGGCGTTCGAACCTGTCCATTTGTTAATGTCATTTAAAAGTTTGAGCATTGTGGAATAGATCAAATAAAGTATAATTATATTTCAATAGTCTACACACAATGATACTTTTTTGTTTTTTTGGTAATAATTAAAAACAACAGTTGATGTGATCACGGGCAGTAATCTTGCTCGAAATATTACCAAAAAACAAAAACTTATCATTGTGTGTAAACTATTGAAATATAATGATACTTTATCTGTCCATTTGTGTACACATTAAAACAAAAACTTAAAACACTGGAAGTTGCACTACAGATGTTTAACTAATTGGTGGTGGGTGTAAACCTCGCCACCGCAGCTCTCTCTGTAGTCAGCCGTTATTACGATTCACATAATTGTAAAGTCAGACACACGTAGAGATTGTTACACAACCACTGTTGTGGCAGTATACAACAGTGTGGAGGTGTGGCTCGTTGGCTTGTACCCTCGGTTTTCAGCTTAGATCCCTGGTTCGAATCCTGCATCACCTTAGTTTGGGTATTTGGGTAGTGTCAGTAGCCGTCACACATTACTTGCAGCTCATAAGCGGACATACAAGTTCCGAGTAATATCCTAACAAGTATGTAATAGTTGCTGTTAGTGTTATTTTTTGCCAGTAATGTTCATGTTGTATATGTGCCAACACTACTTGGATGTGCAAACCGAAACAGATGACTATCTTAAGTGGTTTTGATTTGATATGATCCACAAGGCACCAAACAAGTGTCAGACACTGTATCCCCATGAGTACCAACCACCAAATCGGGTTCATACATTTGTTACTTTTAGAGAGAGAGAAAGAAGATAACTTTGGAATCACACCTAAATAAACCCTCCTGGCTGTGGTAAACTCCAGACATTCTAATTTGCTGGATTATTTTTGGAAGAACATCTGCTGCATGAAATCACTGGATAAGACATACCTAAAAGAGGCTTTAAACTTGTGACTGTGTAAGAGCATTTCAAGGGGGGAAGACTGGAGTCTATCTACCCTTGAAAAGTGTATCATAAATCCGCAAAAAAGCTACTCCTTAGCCTCTCCCGAGGAAGTCCTACTCACTGCCTTCACGTGGCGGAGGTGTTTTTCACCGAAGTGAGAGGGCGGAAGCGGATGCCCGGCGCTCTTCACCGGGTTGACTGTCCATTGGATGACAGTCTAGGGGAGATGGCTAAACCCTGATTCCAAACCTTCAACGACTGGCCTATCAAGCTCACTGGAGCTCACCGGCAGACGTATGGACAAAGGGCTTGTTGGATGTCCTGGATGTATGGCCCCATTCAATAAGGCGTATGAACCGACTCCGGTCACCGGCTGCCAATGGATAGTGGACTCCCTACTCCACTCCTACTGCCTTGTAGGTCACACTTGGTTGTGTAAAGGCCGAGCGATTCTGGGGACATCACTCGTACCAAATTCCCATGAAACTTCATGAACTCTCTCTTACAAATGACTCTATGATTCGAGATGTTCATGAGGCCGGCTCATCCTCCCGTAGGAGATAGCCGAAGTAAAGTAAGTAAGTATTCCTTAGTATGTTGGGAATTAAAATTCAGCCTAACCGGAATTCTATCCACAATCTCAATGTATGCTGATTTTTTTTTCAACGAGAAGCGATTTCAACTCATCCACACATTCATCGGTTTAGGTCACCAATCGTAACCTGAACCTGTAGCTGGCTGGATACTTTAAGTTCATCGTAACTTGACTCTGAAATAGTTTGCAGTTGAAATTTGAAATGACACGTTTTATGGTGTTGCCATTAATTGCTAAAAAGAGCTAACTGATATATATGTGTGTGTGTGCTGTAACAATGTTTTACCTTACATCAATTTTGTATCTGTAATCTTACTGCTCAACTTTGCCTTATCTCGCATTTAGTAGTCTTAATTGTGCATTCCATATGCAGAATTAAGTGGTGATTTTACTTTCAAAACCCC